ATCACTGAGTCGGAGCTGAGCTGACAGCACGTGATGGCGACAGAAACAATCCAGTCTCAGTGGCTATGTGAATTGTCACAGGATTCTAGGGGAAATGTGACAGTATCAAAAAGTTTTTATGTCTCATGTTTTTTATTCCAGCAATCTTAAGGAATTGGAAACTAAAAATTGCCATATAACGGAACAAACTATACCTAGGCATAATAAAGGTGTTTGTGGGAGTGCAGTGACTCCATAAGATAAGCACTGGACTACGAACCATAAGGTCTATGGTTTGAGCCTGCCAGCCCGATCCACAGGGGAAAGATGAGGCTTTCTGCTTCCACAACAATTTAAAAGCCTTAGAAATCCTATACAGGGTCGCTGAGTTGAAACCAACTCCACGGCACTTAACGACAACAAAGTTGTTTATTGTACTGAATTAAGTACAGAATACTTTCTGAAGGCACAAAAGATGTTCATGTAGTATATGTTGTGTGCCGTTGAGTCGGTTCAAGCTCAAAGTGACCCTGTTTCTAAGGAGCTGGTGAGTTTGAACCAACGACCTTGCAGTTCAAACCAACCTTGAGGTCAAGTGCTTATCCTACAGCAACACACCAGGACTCCTAGCCTAGGCATTAGTGAGTATATTGTTGTTGTTAAAGTGCCGTCGAGTTGGTTTCAACCCATAGTGACCCTGTACCGGGTTTCCGAGGCTGTAAATCTTTATGGGAGCAGAAAGCCTCATCTTTCTCCCGCGGAACTGCTGGTAGTTTCGAACTGCCGACTGTGAAGTTAGCAGCCCAACTTGTAACCACTACGCTACCAGACAACAAAAATTGTCAGTACCTGAGATGTCCACGAATGGTGTGGTTGCACAAATTTTAATACAGCCACACTTTGGAAAACTATAGCATGAGCTAGAGCTACAAGGATTCACAGGGGTAGATGCATCTGGGATTTGACATTAAAATAATTGTAAGATACCAGGTTTACAGCCCCACTTGAAGGGGAGACGGATGTGGGCACACACACAGAAAAGAAATGTAGGAAAAGCCTGGAGCAGCGGTGCCGAAAGTGGAGGTAGGAGGGATGTTACTAAAGTCCTTTCATGTTTTATCCTGTGTATTTTAGCACAGTTGGAATTTTGAATAAAACATATAAACGTCTTTAAAAACATGACCGAACTGTGCCTGGTGGTGGTGGGGTGTGCCATCAAGTCAGTTCCAACTTATCGACTCTGTACAGTTTCTGAAAGCGGCTGGTGGATTTCAACTGCTGACCTTGTGTGGTTCCCAGTCCAGTGTTGAACCTACCGCTGTAACAGTGCCTGGAAAGCAGTCTTTACTTAAGCATTTACAGGGTGGTGGCATAGTCTAGGGCACTTGCCTTTTTCCTGTTTCCGATGATCCTACACAGTTGGTATGATTTGTGTCCGTTTTATAGGTGCGTAAGTGAGATGTAGGGAGGTCAAGGGTGTAAGGGCTCAGGCTTATCCCATGAGTTACATGGCTCAGTTTGAACTAAGACCCTGTTGTTTCCAGAATGTTTGGTGTGAAAACCTGACTTTGGGATTCCAGCTTCCAGGGAGCAGTTTGTGGAGCATGTCCATCCAGATCCTTTGAGACTGTGTCCTGAGGGGAATATGGGGGAGAGGCGGTACCTTGCAGATTATTTCAGTTGTGGGGTCTGGCCGGAGGGCTTGGTGGTGTCCCTACTATTACCGGGGCAGAACAAATCCATGGGAAGCTGTGTCATTTGAAATATTGCGTGAACTACTGGGAACTAAGCGAGGTAGCCTGGAGTGTACAGTTGTGGACTTCGATTAAACTTAATGTGGCCCAGGGGGAAAAGATAAGAATGATGTTATACAGCTATGGATTTCCCGTTTGGCAAGTGAGACTCTGAAACGTGGGTGTCTGGTGCTTTGGATTTGGGGCGAGAGTGCCGGAAACATTTATGATGTTTTCTGTGTGTACCAGTTAGCTGGCAGCCTTGGCATGCTTTGGTCTCAGACTGACCAGGAAACCTCTTTGGCTTGGTACCAGGTATTCCTTCTTCACCTGGAAGGTGCGGAGCCCTAATGGCACAGTGGTTAAGCATTCAGCTGCTAACCAAAGGGACAGCAGTTCAAACCCACCAGCTGCTCTGTGGGAGACAGATGTGGCAGTCTGCTCTGTCCCGTAGGACTTCTGTGAGTCAGAATCAGTTCGACAGCAGTGAGACCAGACCCAGTCATTCTGCTCTCAATGGAAAAGCATGCTGAGCAGGGGTCCCAGCCAGAACTGTGTGGACTTGTGAAATGGCCTCCGACTTTGGCATGATGTTTCCTGTGTGGATGCCACAGGCCACCACCCTGTGGGTTAACCACATTCCCACCTCTAGAGCAGAGGGACACAGGGTCACTTGGAGATTCTTTATGAGTACTATCCCTACACACCATCCAATGAGAATGTACCTGTGACTGGAAAGTGAGGTGGATCCAGGTTTCTTTTGTCCACTCATGCATTCATTCAGCAGTGCTGCTGTGTGCCAGGTCCTGAGGTCAGCACAGAGAATGCAAAGTGGAATGTTGTCCAACCGTGCCCAGAGCTTGGGTCTGGGGGTGAGGGGCCAGGCCAGCAGTTGGGCACAGTGCATTTTGACACAGGCTGTGATGGGCCAGGGCAGCAGCCTGGAAGGGATAAGTAGCACCAAGGGAGGGAGTCTTCACAGGTGACCTCCTTGAGGAGGGGATACACCACTTGGGTCTCAAATCCATTGACATTGAGGTGACTCATAGTGACCCTTTGGACAGAGTAGGACTGCCCCTTAGGGTTTCCAAGGCTATGCATCTGTTTGGAAGCAGACTGCCTCATTTTTCTCCCCCAGAGCGCTGGTGGGTTCAAACTGCTGACCTTAGCCCACTGCACCACCAGGGCTCCTTTGGGTCTCAGGGGAGTAGTAAAAGTCCTGACTTTTAATATTGTTATTGTGTGCTGTTAGGTTGGTTCTGACTCACAGCAACCCTGCTTAGGATTTCCAAAACTGTGAATCTTTATGGGAACAGACAGTCTCATCTTTCTCCCTCTAAGTAGCTGGTGGATTTGAACTACTGTCCTTGGGGTTAGCAGCCCAACATGTGTATACCACTAAATGAGGAGGAAATGTCAAACCTGCTTGGCTTCCAGAGTTTTAAAATGAAATTTGACCACAGGTTTGGTGTATTATTATTATTTTTTTTAATTGAAACTGTAGAACAGGACTAGATACTTCATTCCAAGGCTTCAACAGATGTTAGATGTGCCCTGTCCCCACCCTCCCCCCCATCTTGTTTTTTCTGCCACTATGACCGAGTGGCCTCAGTCTTTTTCCTTTAAGACACTAATTTTTGATAGAAAAACGAAGTTCCCTGTTACTGGGAACAGGATTCCTGTCTGGATCTCTTCCTTTGACCCTTGAAATTGGTTACTGCTGATGACATCCCATTTGGACGGATAGTGTAAACTTCTTCACTTTCTGTTTAGGGGTCTTTGGGGAGTAGGCTGAGAAGTCCTGGTGGTACAGTTGTTAAGAGCTCAACTGCTAACTGAAAGGTTAGCAGTTCAAACCCACTAGCTGCTCCCCAGGAGAAAGATGACACTGTCTGCTTCTGTAAAGATGACAGCTTTGGAAACCCTATGGGGCAGTTCTTTTACCTCTGGGGTCACTGTGAGTTGGAATCAACTTGATGTGATTTGAGAATAGGTGGAAGCTGCAGGTGTTTATTCTTAGCCACTAACATTCTGCTCTTCAGGCTGTTTGATTCCACAGGCTGCACTGAAAAACACTGCTTTTCTTGGTTCCCGGATGTACTGCTGATTGAGGTGCAGTGGATGTCTGTTAGTGGCGTGTTAAAAATGCCTTACAAAGATGCCTGGTGGTGTGAGGTGTGCCTTGGAGAAGAGGGGGCCCAAGATTCAGTGCTTTTTCTGTTCACATTTAATCATCCTTAACCTTTCTGAATGGATTCCTTCCATCGCCACCATCTGAACCCCATAGTTATTGTCCTTTGTCACATAAATATTTGGCCACATAGAAGTGCTAGAGAAGTTGTGTACAGTTCGAACTTCTTAAGTTTTCTGACTGGGTCTGGATACACAACACCAGGGCTGGTAGGAGGGGGTGGTGGTGGTAACTGGAGGTAGAAACACAGTGTCAAGGTTGTTTCTGGTTCCCACCCTCTTATTGTGACATCATGTGACAGACTAGAACTTAGAACTGCCCTGTAGAGTTTCTTACCCTGTCAAATTTAGGGAAACGGATTCCCAGACCTTTTCTCTCATGGAGCCACTGGTGGGTTCAGATTGCCCAGCCTTTTGATGGAGGAGCGGTGTGCCTAACTCTTTGTGCCACCAGGTCTCCTTTCTTCTTGTCATAGCATCCAGGAATGCCTTTCTCTTAATATGAGGGTGGTTGTGTGATAGCTGTTAAGATACAGGTTTTTCAAAATCTGAACATAGCCAAGTAAATGTTGTCCTGGGCAAGGCCTTCACCGAGGGAGACCATGCCACTCTCAGGAGTGTTGCTAGTCAGACTGCCCTGTCTGGGTGGCCCTCAGTCCCTCCACCTGAGTCCTCAGAGAGTCAGCTCCGTGGAGGTATGGATTTAAAGCTCATAGGAGATGGCTGAAGAGAATAGACAAACTACAATGCTTAATCAACAGCAGAACTGCTGAATAAATTCATTCCTACTTCAGGTGACAAGTTTGAGAAGTATATTCATTTGGAATGTTATATGCCTTGACCTATCAGAGGTGTGGCGTGGTAGGGCATTTCCTTATAGTCACCACCCATCATAGCAAGATAGCCACGTTGTTGGAGCCTGTAAAAGAGCATGTGCTGGAATGTTAAGGGAAAGAAAACCCATAGCCATTCATCCTTACTGAGAGTCCCTTCCAGACATCTGCCTGCAACCCTGGCGTCTCCACTGTCCTTGTCACCTGCAGAGGTGGGCAAGCCCTCCAGGGTTTCTCTAACAACGTGTCTCTGCTTCTTCTCTAGGTATTTCTGGGAAAAGCCAGCTTCTGTTTGCACTGGTCTTCACAACGCGTTACCTGGATCTCTTTACTTCCTTTATTTCATTGTATAACACATCCATGAAGGTATGGTATGGCATCCAATAAGCTGCATTTTATCTGTAGTTCACAGATGGGGCATCAGGTGTGTTTATAATGAAAATCCTCCAAGAGTGATGTCTAAATTTGCTGGCCCTTCCTTAACTTTTAGATCACCTTGCACAGCTAATAGGGACCCACCAGTAAGCATATTTTTTTTTGTTGTAGAATAGCATCTAGTTAAGGTAATTTGAACTCAGAGATTTTTTAAAAATCTTACCTTTCTTATGGATAAATCTATTAAAGCTCTTACTAACCCTGTGAGAAAGAGGGGTGATGATTAGATTTTTGAGGCTGTGGGGATTTGCCATCTCCTCACGGCAGGTCAGTCCATAATGAGGTAGTGAGCCTGGACTCCTGTTGGTGCTGTGTCTGACGCTGTGTGAGGAACGGTGTGTGTTGGCATCCCCCTTAGTCCTTTATTTTTCACTCAGCCCGTTTTCCTGCCACTGCTGTATGTGCCACCCATATTATTTTTGGCACAGTCAGGTCACTGTAACTTACCTAATCATCCAATTTTGCCAAGTAAAAAACTCCTACTGTACCCTAAGCATTAGTATCCATGACAACTTTAGCATCCCTCTTAACTCACGTTAAAATAAACATGTAGCTAACTGTTCACATATGAAATCTGTATGTACCACCTGACATCTCAGCTTCCACTGGGGCAGTCGTGGGCTGGGAGCCTCTGCTTCCTCACGCAGTCATTGATGCGTGTGTTCCTGGAGGGCCTGGCAGAAAGCAAGCAGGCGGAGGAGAGCAGACGGGTCCTTGTGATGCTAGAGGGCTGTTTGCAGTTGTGAGAAGTGCACTGAAGGACGGATGGGGGCTCTCGGGATATGTCATTGTAACACTGATAAGCTACAGATATGGATGGAGCAACCATGGGCCCACCCATATACTAGATACCCTTGGCTTATTGTCACACCTAAAGTAGTATGATGGAAGCTGAAGCCAGTTAGCAGGGTGTTTAAAACTACTCTCCCAACACTCTTCTGCTCAGAAGCATTTATCTAAACACAGGTCCAAGAAGACAAAGCCATGTTGGAGGCCACGGTCATTCCTGAAAAGCAAACTCCAGTTCCTTCTTGTTCTGTTCTTCATCACTATGTGATGGGAGCACAGAAGTTAAGAAATGGCTTGGCCTCTGCTAGTTTCCTCATTGGGTAAGACTGCAGCTGTTAGGCCTAGTTTTCAGAGGAGCCCCTTTGCTTGCTTGCTTCGTTTCCAAGGTCACGTCGCAGTGAATCAGAGCAGTGGGAGCTGAGTGTGCTGTGCTCGTGTTTTTTCCTTTATGAGCCACACAGTGGGAAGAGGAGAAAGGCAGCCTTGTTACTGTCTCCCAGCATCTGCTAAAAGGTCCTGGATGGATCTGAGCAGACGCTAGCTGGGTGCTCCTGACTGACCTCTAGCCATGGTGTGCATGGAGGGAACTTAGTGTGTCTATGGATGTGTGTCCATTGTTTATACATACAGAATATATGCCGTTTTATTCCTACGCATATATATAGTCAGACCTTGGAGATGCTGCGAGTTTGGCTCCAGACCATCACAATAAATCAAAGATCACAATCATGCAAGTAGCACACATTTGTGTGTTTCCCTAGTGCAGATAAAGGTGCTGTTTGCATTGGACTGCTGTCTATGAAGTGTGCAATAACTACACAAAAGTCTGAAATGCTGTGAGAATGACCAAAATGGGACACAGACACCAAGCAAGCACGCTGTTGGAACAATGGCGCCTGTCGACTTGCTGCATGCAGGATTGCCACAAATCTTCAATTGATGTTTTTTTAGAAAGGTGATATCTGCAGAGTGCAATGAAGTGAGGCTGAATAAAACGAGACTTGCCTGTACATGTACTTGGGGCGAGAATTACTCTAGCAGAATAAGACATTAATATTCCTTGGTTTTTTGTTTGCTTTGTCAGTTTGTCATTCTCTGGGATATGGATATGAGCCAACAATTTAATCCCGTGTTGACAGTTCATCTGTAAATACGACTTTAAGGAGTTTTGGTAGCGTAGTGGTTACGAATCAGGCTGCGAACCTTAAGGTCAGCAGTTCGAAACTACCAGCCGCTCCGCGGGAGAAAGATGAGGCTTTCTACTCCCGTAAAGATTTACACCCTCGGAAACCCTGTACAGGGTCGCTATGGGTCGGAACTGACTCGATGGCACTTGACAACAACAACAACAACAGCTATGAGACAGAGTCTCATGGATAGTTGAATCTTCTTGGTTTTTTTAAGCATATGAGGGCTTGAAGCTTATTCTCATTTTCCTGTTAAGTCATTTGCCCAAATGTTTTCCTAACAAAGATTTGCAAATTGTCTTTCTTGAGGAGAAGCAGCAGCTGGGCAAGGACCCTCCCTATTCATTAGCATAGTCCCCATTCTCTCTACTCGGGCTTGGCCTGCTATTTTGTGCTTTTTCAAAACATCAGACTTTTCCTTAAGGCCAACGAGTACATCGTGTCAGACCTTCTGAATGTGAAAGGACACCTAAGTTAATTTTGTGTGAGCAGCTGAATTGATTGGTACACACAATCATTCTCTTTGTAAGCAGAAACCTGAATGTCCCACGTTACAGCAACACAATTTAAATAACAACTATCATTGCAAAGGTGTACATGAAGTATGCTGCTGACCTTCTTTAGAAAACCTCCAGCTAGGAAATCTTTTCATGTTGGAAAGAAGCTCGTTGCAATGAGTTTTTCTTTTTTTTTTTTTTTTTAGCTGAGTTGAGTTTTGTACTTAAAAAAAAAATTCTTTATGCTAAGAATTGAAACTGAGATGTAAAGTATACTTCATTGGAAGTTTCTTATAAAGTTAGATGTACCCAGCCTCACTCCTAGGAACTGACCCAAGGGAAATGAAAACTTACATTCACCCAACTATCTGTATGCAAGGTTCATCATCACCCCTCAGCCCCTCAAAGGCCCTTTAGCATTTGAATGGATAAGGAAGCCACGGTGCAGTTACATAGCAGGCTGCTACTCAGCAGTGAAATGCAGCACATTTAGAATACGTGAACGTTCTGCTGAGAGAAGTCCAGCTCCAAAGGCCATCTGCGCGATTCCGTTCAGGTGGCATTTTGGAGAAGGCAGAGCCTTAGGGTTGAGGAAAGATCAGGGGGTAAACAGGCAGCCAAGAGACTCTTAGGGTGATGGGACTGTTCTGTGTCTAGATTGACTCAACTGTATACCCCTAAAGTGAATTTCATTACATGGAGATTTTAAACACACCCCATGCCCCCCCTCCCAAAAAAAAAAAAAAAAAAACTACAGTAGGAACAATAAGGCATTTCTCCTTTCTGAGAACCTGATGGAGTGTGTAGCCAGGCTGGGGCGTTGGAAGGAGTCCTGGTGGTGCAGTGGGTTAGCATTGGACTGCTAACCAAAAGCTTAGCAGTTGGAACCTACTAGCCACTCCTCATTGTGACCCGACTCTGCCCTGCAGGGTCGCTCTGAGTGCAAATTGCCACCACAGCAGTGGGCTTAGTTTGGGTTGAGGGAGTCAAGATAGCTGTGCGGTCTTGATGACCTGGTGTGTTTGCTTTACCTCCAGCTCATCTACATTGCTTGCTCCTATGCCACCGTGTACCTGATCTACATGAAGTTCAAGGCCACCTACGATGGGAACCATGACACCTTCCGAGTGGAGTTTCTGGTGGTCCCTGTGGGAGGCCTCTCGTTTCTAGTCAACCATGACTTCTCCCCGCTCGAGGTTTGTGAAGAGGCCACATAGTGGCCAGCTCTGGTGCCTGAAATAGACCTGTTTGCAGATGCCTAGGGGTAGTCATCTTCGTTAGTTGTTTGGCAGACTTCTGATGCAGCATTCACTAGTTGGTATTAACAAAACCATGAGCAAGCTTTCTTTAATACAGGCACTTGAACCTGTTTGTCATTATCTTGAGTTCTGAGGTATCACATGGGACCCTGGTCTTTTCCCTGCTGTGACCCAAGTTCTGTCTCCTCTCTGTGTTTGGGCATCTGAAGCAGCCCTGCTGCACTCCTCAACTTTGGGGGGAGGGGGGAGGCTCCTATGCCCCTTTCCTCTCTCTGTCATGAGCTGTACTCTGTAAACATGGGGCCCATTTCTCCTGGTTGTCATAAGTGTGAATCAATACAAATCCATTTGGGCCAGGGAGTTTGCATAGTCACAGCTTCTTCGCCCTTTGATTTCACCATCTTGTAGTGAAATAAGATAAGCACTGGACCGCAAGGTCAGTTTGTACTACAAGGTTATGGTTCAAATCCACCAGCCACTCCTTGGAAACCCTATACAGAGTCACAATGAGTCTGAACTGACTCAGTGGCACTAAGCAACAACAACAAAGTCATAAAGGAGTCCTGGTTAGAAGCTGTAGGATTAGCACTGGACTGTTAACCACAAGTCTGGTGGTTCAAATCCAACAGCTGCTCCTCAAAAACCCCATATAGGTTCACTATGAGTCAGAACTGATTTGATGGCACTCAACAACAACTACAAAGTCGTAAAGAGTAAGAAAAACAATGAGAAGATACAGATAGCCTGGGAAGGCAAGACAGATGGAGGTTTGTGAGGGAGACAGCAACGAAAGGGTAGAAAGAACTTAGATGATATTGTAGCTGAGCCCGGCCACAAGTGGGAATGACTCCAGACCTCAGAATCCGAGTGGAACAGATGGAACAAGGAGCAACATCCATATACAGATGTGTACAAAATGGTCCAGAGACAAAATCATGAAGACTGAAAAGAGGTAGAGGTGTCCCATTCTCCCAGTTTGCCCTTGGCATTGCCCACTCCACAGAAATGTTGCTTACATCTTTGTGGTTTATTAAATCGCTAAGCTGCCCAGGTACCTTGCTGCTTGTCTGATGTACCACAAGGCCCCTAAAGCTAGTCTTTGCTGTGAATCCACGGTGAGCCCTGGCATCTGACTGGAGCCTGCCATCTGCCTTCCAGATTCTGTGGACCTTCTCCATCTACCTGGAATCTGTGGCGATCCTGCCACAACTCTTTATGATCAGCAAGACTGGGGAGGCGGAGACTATCACCACCCACTACCTGTTCTTCCTGGGCCTCTACCGTGCACTGTATCTCGTCAACTGGATATGGCGCTTCTACTTCGAGGGCTTCTTTGACCTCATTGCCGTGGTGGCCGGCGTAGTCCAAACCATTCTCTACTGCGACTTCTTCTATCTGTACATTACAAAAGGTATGTGGGGCCAAAGCTGCTTGCTCCCTTCCCAGAGTCACCTGCTCTTTTTGAGAATTGCTTGCTCCGTTCCTGTCCAACACAGTCCTCATCTGAAACTGGCTTTAGAAAAGTGCTTTATGAGCAGTCCAATACAATTCTGATTCAGGTTCCAATCTTTTGGAATACAAGGGTAAGTCAAAAAGTACTGCTAATTAGGGCTCCAGTTCATACATGGGTAGGTTTATTCCAAACAAAACATGTTTAAACATGTCTCTGCGATCAGTGGATGGCTGCAGAGAAGTCCTCTCAATAAGAAACTTGTCTTAGTCTTATTAGGGTGCCGTTTAAAAAAGTCCAGTCAAAACAGTGGCTTCCAAGGGGATGTGCTGGGCCAATTCAATTCAAGGCTGAGACGTCAGCTCAGAAGGTTATGGGGACTGTTTTCTGAGATTCCAAAGGGGTCATCTTCGTAGATTTTCTGAGGACACAGACAATCCTGCGGGCTTATAAAGAAGAGGTTTTAAATTGAAAACTGCATTGTTGAGGAAAAGGCCAGGAATTTTTTTCCATCACAACAATGCACCTGTTCTTTGAGAGTAGTAAGTGCTGTCCTTTCAGATTGCTGTTGGGAAACCTCACCCCATCTGCACTACAGTCCTGTCCGTGACCCTTCAGGGTTTTTGTTTCCCAAACTCTAGAAACACAACTTGAGTACCTGGAAATACCAAAAGCACTGTTTTGATGTGGTATAAATCAAAGACTGCAGAAATCTTTGGGGAAGGGTTAGAGAGAAGAAACCCTACCGTTAGAAGTCTAAAGACCTAGATGGAGGCTCTGTTGAGAAACAATAGCTTCACATTTGGATATTTTTGATTAATAAAGGATTTTACAATTTTATAGCATTTCTTTTTTACTTACCCTTGTCTAAGTCCTATTTTCCCCTTGTTGTAGCTTTAGTTTTTACATTGATTTGTGGGTATTCAGACTTGCTGATTTGCTGCTATTAAAATCTAGGGCTTAAAAATCAGCATCCTTTCATTTGCGTATTTTTGCATTTATATGAACACAGGACATATGGATATCATAACATAAAATGAAAACCATGATTCTTGCCCAGAAAGTAATGCATATTCATGTATGTGCACCCAAATTTATGGATACAGATTTTAGGGCACTGAGGATCCTCTCAAACCCGTTGAGTAAAATTCCGATTATGGAATTGCTGGTTAAAGGGACATACACATTTTCTTTTTCTTTTTTTTTCAAATGTTCAAAATTTCTTAGACTTTCCTATATAAAAACAGATATGTTTTAAGTATATATTGATTGGAGGACAAAAAGTTACCATGGATTGGGTGATGCTTTCAGATCAATTGTTGAAAGTCCAATGGCCGTGGCATCTAGGCACACTCAGAAAATACCAGGCGGTAGGCCCATGGCATTGTCTGTGGGTCTGGTGACTCCTGGACCACCCTCCACTTGTGCTGACTCCCTTCAAGATACAATGTCACCAATCCTATGACCTATGTCTATATTTCTGAAGGCTTTGTTTATGGATATCAAAGCCCCCGTGGCTGTTGCTTTGCCTGGTGCTCTGCCTGTTACACTTGACTCTTGACTCGGGAGTCTTGTCTGCAAAGAGGAAGCAAGCCGCCCTTTTACAACTGTGACTGGTACACATTAGTGACCTTCTGTTCTCTCACCCTGTCTTTCTGGCCAATTCTAGTGCTCAAGGGAAAGAAGCTCAGTTTGCCAGCGTAAGTGCCAAAGCCCATCGCCAGCATCTGTCCCTCAGGGTGCTCGGACAGAATTCTTCCCGCAGCAAAGGTGTAAGATGCTTGATACGGAAGATGAGAAACGTCGCCCTCTATTGCACACGGTCATCAGCAGCTCTGGAAAAACTCAGAGGAAAAGAATTCAAGGGTTTCGGTTTTGATGCATCTTGCCTTATCTTTTTTTATTACTATGTACAAAGATTTTTTTACACAAAGAAACTCAATGCTGTATTAATACATTCAATATGTAGCTTCCATTGGGGTCATTTCCAAAAAGTGACGATTTTGTGAGGAATAAGTGCAAAACCTTTTTTTTTTTTGAATTTAAAAAACTTCTTTGAGATTGTTGATTCTTTGTCTGTAATGAAACCTGTACTCCTGACTGTTGGTAGATTATATATTCTTCCATCTATCAAACTTGCATTCCACTTTATTTATTTTTTCCAAAAAATGGGTTCTGTTTGTTTGAAGTCTGAGATACTATGTTCAGTTTGGTGGGCATGTTCACCTTGATCACCACCTGGCGTGGACAGCCCTGCCTTGGACGTCACAACACTACAGTTAAGGCTGGTAAAGTGGCTTGCAATTCTGGCATGAAATCTGGACTTTTTTTAAGGGTCACCAAAGGTGCCTGCCCCCCTCCCCTGCTGAGAAGTCTCCCTTCGAGACTGCCGAAAGACCTCCATGGTTAGGGGCTCCAGGCTACATATCCTCCAGGTGTGGATAGAGGGCTGTCAGTGTGGATATTTTGGATACAGGACCCACGCACATATCCCCCTCTGAAGAGTGGGCTCCAAGTCCTCCCCTATCACATTCAGGTTTCCAAGAGAATCCGTCACCACGCCTCTGCTCAGATTCAAACCATTTGGCTGATCACTTCGGGGAGTAAAATTAGATAACGATTTTTTTCTCCCCTAACTGGCAATACCAATTACCATTCTTTGTCTCTCTCTCCCTCGTTTTTTTTAATTTTCTAATTTTGTGTTTGTGTTTTGTTTTTGTTTTTTCCCAATGAACTCTTGCATGGTTTTTCTTGTGTTACCATCCTAAATAAACATTTTCTTCAACAGAGAATCAATGGTCCTGGTTAATGAATTAGGCTTGTATAATAGCCTATGTTGGGATATCTTTTGTTTTTCATTTGGCAACAAGAGCTCTGTAGAGCAAACATTGAAGGTCCACTTTATCTGTAAAACTGTTTGTGTTTTGTGGAAATAGCAGACTTTTTTCTTTTTTCTCTCTCTCTTGATTTTACCATGATAATAATTTGCTACTTTTTTTTTTTTTTTTTGGTTTATTCAAAAGTATATGGCTTTGTTTCTATGTGATGCACCATAAGGTGAAAGTGTTGTATACTAAGCAATGCTTATGACAAGGAGGACATAAGCTTCCTGTTGTAAAGTAGCTTGAGGAGTAAGCGACCTGGATGGGTCTTATTTGTATCTCGAACATCTGCACATCTTCCTCCATTGGCAGCGGGCCTGCACAGCTTAACTTCTCGGATTTCGCTCCCTCCCTCGGCTCCCCCTGCCCCATCCCCGCCTCTTTACTTTGTTCATCCATGTCAGCATAGCGCCCTTTCTAGCAGCTCCCAGCCTTGGTTTCATTTCTGTCATCTGCTTTCATTCTCCTTGGAACATTCTGAGTCTAAATAAGTGGAGCCGACTGCTTGCAGCCCAGTGTAGGGGGGTGGGGGGACTGGGATTGGAAACCTGTTCCTGCGCATGTACATGAAGCCCAAGCTGGGAACCTTCAGTGGAAAATACCATTTCCAGCGCCAGGATCTGAACCCTCAGCCACCGCCTGACAGATGCCCGTCTTAGTTACTCTGCCCAAGTCAAAATGACATGGGCTTAGGACACCACCATATTTGTGATCAACCAGAATGGAGGGCACCTGAGTTGGGGGGCGGGGGCAACCCCCTCACCCAAGTTGAAAACAACCTTGTAGGCCCGGCTTTGGAAGCACTGTTTTGAGTTTCATTTCCTAAATAAAGGTTATCAGGTGACTAATACCTTTGATTCAGGTGTTTTTAATTTGTGTGACTTGATTTTTAAATGAATGCATGAAGAGAACACCAACTTAAACTTGCCCACTAAGTGATCATAGACCCCGTACGTTCCCTGCCCAGTTCATTCACAGTGTGCTCTGTTTCCTTAAAGTCTGCGGTGGAGGGCGGGGCAGGAGAACCAGGAGACAAGAAGGGAAGTTTGCAGGTGGAAAGACCTTATGAGAGAAGAGGTAGTCCAGCCTTTTCAAAAGCAGAGCTGTCCATGGGCCGGCAACGTCTGGCGCATGGGGTCCCCAGCTGATCTCCCTCCCTCCCTGCCTTCCTCGGAGGGCGGCTGTTTATGCTGGACGTGTGGCCAGAGACGGGTAAGGATCACGTGGAACCTCGGCTACTTAAGACAGAGACATTCATTGCCATGCTGCAATGAGTTTCAATGACTGGTAAGACTGAGGAATTCGCACTGACCGCCTAAGACAGGCAGCGTCCCTTAAACAAACAATAAATAAGGAGGATTCGGATGCAGACCGTGCAGACCCGGTCAGGAGGCCAAGCCCCTGTGGGCCCAAGCGTTGTTGACCGTCCAAACCATAGGCTCTGAGGATCAGACTTTAGTTAGAACCTAGTTGACATAGCAAACTGTCCCTCATCTGATTATTCAGTAATGCTTGTTAGTAATCTCATACATGAGCCCTGGATATCCACAGACAAATGTAAAAACCTTCCCTAAAAGCCGAGACTGTAAATTCCAAAAAGGCAAGTCTCCCCCCACATCCAAAAAAAAAAAGCTAAAGAGGATAGAGAGAAACACTGTTAACTGATGATATATGGAGGGGATAATAATCAATGTAATGAAACAAGCTATATGAATGGTTGAATGTGAAGCTGATGGTGTGCCCTGTAAACTTTCACTCAATCCAAAATAAAAACATTTAATTAAAAAAAAAAAAATGGCCAATGCCAGTCCATTTTGACTCAAAAAAAAAGCAGAGCTGTCCACATCGTTGAGTTAATTTCCAACTCAGAGTGTCCATAGAACTGCCCCATAACATTTTCAAGGCTGCTATCTTTACAGCCTTAACTGCCACATTTTTCTCCAGTGGAGCGGCTGATGAGTTCGAACCACCAAGCTTTCAGTTAGCAGTCAAGCACTTGTAAGAACTCTTACGATTTAGGGGAACTGGAAGTCTAACAGACAGGCTTTGGGGTCAGACTTGCATTAAGAGTTTGTTTTTGGTTTTCTTTATTGTGATTTGGGTGGAAATATACAGAGCTTATTGGTTTTCCATTCAACAATTCATCCACATTTTGATTCGTGACACTGATCACAATCTCCACAATGTAGCAGCCCTCTTCCCACTTCCTCCCTGAGCTTCCTATTTCCATTTGTCCTTTCTTATCCCTTCCTGCTTTCTGAGCTTTCTCCCTAAGCCAGTGCTAACATTTGGACCTTGTAGGGTTGGTTGGTCTAGACGCATTTTTTATTTTGTTAATTGCTTATTTACCAAAAGGAACTCTTTCTTAGCTTACCGATCCATATTTCATAGTTCAGAGGCTTAGGTCAGTGACAATTTCCTTGGAACTCAATCCAAAGAAATTCTATTCCCAAATCCCTCTGCACTCTTGAGATACCAGTTTTCCTCATCTCAAAGTCTTTCATGAAATCATTTCTGTAGAAGTCTGTACATGCCTACTTTCTTGGTTCAGCTTCTAGAAAATTCCTGAGAGCTGTGAATCCCAGGGACAGATGTATCCTTGAACAATCTGAATTCACAGACACTTGGCCTGAAGGCCATACATCTAAGGTTTTTCCTAAACAGTGCAAGACAAGGTGGTTCTCCCTCAACACCCACGTCCTTCCAACTGGTCTTGCATCAGAGTCTTAGCTCCTCATACTTGTAGCTCTGTGATCTTGGACTAAGCAGGAACATGGTCCCCCCTCAGTTATGTGGGGCCACTCGGCTTACTCAGAATTTCCAGGAAGACTAACTGAGCAACACTGAGAAACCTCAGCAGAGAACTCCCAATCCCTTCGATAAGCAACTTGGCAAGCCCTTGGCCAAGAACCGGTTTTAGCAAGTGCCCTTCTGACTCATAACTAGTTTTGCCAGAAGGTTAAAAATCCTTCTAATGACAAGAATTTAAAACAAACTAGTCAGCTCCAACTCACGGTGACCAACAGAAGTGTGCTCCATAGTTTTCAATGGCTAGCTTTTTGGAAGTAGATTGCCAAACCTTCCTAGGTGCCTTCGAGTGGACTTGAACCTTCAATCTTTAGGTTTGCACTTGAGTATAACAGTTTGCACTACCTAGGACCTCCAATGAGAGCAATGTTGTCAAACCCAAAGCCCACGGTCTATTCATAGCGACCCTGTAGGACAGAGTCCTGGTGTGGTGCTGTAGGATAAGCACTGGACTGAAAGGTCAGTTTGAACTGCAAGGTCCATGATTCAAGCTCACCAGCAGCTCCTCGGAAACCCTACGTAGGGTCGCTACGAATCAGAATGGACTCAACAGCACTTAACAACAAGAACAGAGTAGAACTTTCCCATTGGGACTCCAAGGTTATCATCTTCAAAGCAGCAAAGTGCTGCATCTTTTCCCCCTGTTGTTTTCAGGTGCCATGGAGTTAGTACCAACTCAGAGTGACGTATGTACAACAGAATGAAACACTGCCCAGTTCTCAGAATCATTGCCATGCTTCAGCCCATTGCTGCTGTCACTGTGCCAATCCATCTCTTTGGGGGCAGTCCAACAGTTGAGTCCTAAATACCTTTCAAAATCACCCACCTGAGAGCTGATGAGCTCCGTGCTGTACTTTCTGTGTGCTTTCCCCCTCTAGTGGCTGAATGTTGCACCTGGCCTCCAAAGTGTGGAATTTTGCAGGTGTGTGTCTCCTCCAGCTTTTAAACATTTCACTCTTATCCCTGCAGTATAAAAGCACGTTGAAGCTCAATACAGCACGAATCCTCTTGAACAATGACAAAGAACACTTCTTTTGACTGGAATGTGATACTCCTGACCTCTGTTCTAGTTTCCATTTGAGAGCTTGAAAGATGAGTTTTTAGGCAAACACCTCAGTACACTTGAGTGTCTGTCACCAAAACAGTTAACAACACACCCGTCAGATTTTATTACCTGACATTGTATCAAACTCTGGTATTAACTATTCCCACCACTGTCTCTTCTTTTCCTATTCCTTTCCCTTCCCCACTACTTTACGTCTATGTTTCATTTTGTTCTCGACTGTACACATGGACTGCCAAACAAATCTGTGTTGGAAGAAGTACAGTCAGAATGCTCCTTAGAAAGCCAGTATGGCAAGACTTCGTCTCTCCTACTTCAGACATACTATCAAGAGAGACCAGTCCCTGGAGAAGAACATCATGCTTGGTAAAGTGGAGGGTGAGCAGAAAAGAGGAAGACCCCACCAACAAGATGGGATTGACACCACAGCAGCAGCAGGCACGGGCTCAAGCTTAACTACAATCATGAGGCTGGCGCAGGGTCGCTAAGAGTCAAAACGGACTCAATGGCACCTAATGACAACAACGAGCATAGCAGTGCAACAGGTAATTAATTAATCCCATTAGGGATTCGAACTCACCCAGCCACTTCAAAGGTCGGTGATGTGCTTGGGTGAAGATTATAGCCTAGAAAACTCTATGTGGCAGTTCTATTGTCACATTAGCTCATCCAGAGTTGGAAATCAACTTGACAGCGCCCAACAACCACATGTACATAAGACTAGTTCCTGGGTAGCACAGTTTAAGTGTTAGGCTACTGAAAGGTTTACACTTCAAGCCACCAAGAGGTGCTTCAGATGACAAGATTTTCCAAGTCTGAAATTCTTTCAGCGATCTTTTGCAGGCTATAAAAATTAGGTTATTTAAGGTAAAGTGATCAGGGAAGGAGAATGGGCTTGATTTCAGCGGGGAGAAAAGAGGCATCAAGCAGCGAGGTGGAGGCAGCCGTGGAGAGGCAGGGAAGCACGCATTCATAAACTTTTGGATGTATTTTCCAGGGAAAAGACCTTGTCGAGGGGTCAGGTTCTATGCGTGCACGATCCAGAGTATAGGTTGGTCGGCGGTTCAACCAGGTCACCTAGGCGGGGGGGCATACGTTGTGGGGGGCTTGGGGAGGTAGTGTTATGAGGCAACCCTCTGTCCCGTCCAATCTGCATGCTCGAGTCTCAAAACCAAGGAAGCTCGGTGTTCGCGCCTAGTGCAACGGGGTGCGAAACCTTAGAGACCTGCGCACGAAAACCATACACGGGCCTCGAAAATCCTTAGTTACAAAGTGGAAACATGAACCGAACAAACTTCCTAGATATGCACAACTGCGAAATAACCAGGACGTCAGCGAGCCTGCGCAGGCGCAGAGTGCTCCAATAGAAGGGCGGCTGCGTAGGGCGCAGTGTGCGTGCGTCCGCCTCTACCTGGGCGTGAGTTGCGCAGGCTCACTCTTCTTCAAAATGAGCATGCGCCGGACACCCCCCCACGCGTTCACGCACACAACACCTACTTGTGCGCATGTGCGGAGTCGCGGTCAGTTTGGCGGTGGAGTCCATAGAGCGCTCGGCTCTGGTAGCTTGAGGCGCGCGGCGGCTCGCCCGAGGCTGCGCGGCTGGGCCTTAGCCATGCCAGGGTTGGTGCTCTTTGGCCGGCGTTGGGCCATTGCCAGTGATGACCTGGTCTTCCCAGGATTCTTCGAACTGTTCCTACGAGTTGTGTGGTAAGGGCGGGCTGAGGAGGGCGTAGGGGGCGAGCGGCGGCTGACCCTAGTGACTATGGACACAGCCTCCCGAGCTCTGTCCATGCTAACTCTTAGCTTGTCCTCACGACCACACGAAGTAGTTCCCACCCCCATTTCACAGATGGGAAACCGAGGCCCTTTAGCGGGTGGGCCGCCGCGCTGCAGGGCACGGTCACCCCTCCGTGTGACCTGGGGGCCTTAAGGACATCATTGCCAACCAGAGTGAAGCCCTCAGGCTTACAGTACACTTTGCCTTTGAGCCTGTGGATTCCCTCTCAGAGTAGCTCCCTTTGGGATCCCTAAGAAGTGGCATTTGGAACATAAAGTCTGTTCCCACAGAATCTAAAAGTCTGTTCTGTATATTTCCCCTATTGATTAGGATTCTTGTATAGAATCTGATCAAAAATTTCAGTAACGATAGAGTTTCAACAACAAAATAAAAATAAAAACATTTAAAAAGGAACCTTTTAAAAATAAAGTTATATATATATTTTTGCATGGTGCCACCTGGCTACCATTATTGAACATGTTTTTAGTTTTCTTTTTTGAAAAATTTTGTTGTTGTTGAGAATATACCATTAATGAATATCTTCATCATAGATTCTAGGGATGAATTCTGATCAAAAAGGGGAATTTGCTGAACAGAATTTTAAATTCTCATGGACTCTAGATTTTCTAGTCTCCATCTTTTTTGCTGTTGTGAACAGAGCTGCTTTCAACATTGGTGTGCCATGTATCTCCTCGTGTTCTGGCTTGTATTTCTTGTGGATGTATACCAAGTAGAGGAATTGCTGGATCATAAGGTATTTCTATTTCTAACTTTCTGAGGAAGGACCATACTGTTTTCCAGAGTGGTTGGACCAGAGTTCTGAAACTTTAAACCTTAAACTAAAAATATCCTCTAAAATCTTCTTTAAACCAAGCAATAGTGTAGTGGGGTGCGTTTTTTTTTTTTTTTTTTAATGGCTTGCCTCACCATGTAACTACTACCAAATGATTGTGTGGGACTAAGGGTTGAGTTGCTTGTGGTCCACCAAGAGGATTGGATAACTTGCTAATAATGCAAATAAGGTACATGACACCGTTGTGGGACATGTTATTGTTGTTGTGCCAAGTGCTATCGAGTCCGTTCTGGCTCATAGTGACCCTGCATAGGATTTCCAATGTGTGGCTGGGGGTTGAAATGCCATTCTTGTTCAGTGTTAATCATACAGGATTTACAAGCCACATCAGGACTCTGCAAATAAGATGTATGGGACCTTAATGAGGGGATTGCCCAGTTTTGTCATTCAGCTATCCAAATGTGCCATCCCAGAGATGGGCAGGGATTTTATTAGCACTGATAAGGGAAGCTGTGAGTGGAGCTCATCCTTTGGACGGAGGGGCCTTATATTTAGAAGCTTGGGAGCCAGGAAACAGATGGTGCAAGATGGTGAGAACTGGAGGCAGAGAAACAGTGGAGACTGCTAACAGAACCAGGAGGTTGACCTGAGATGGCTCAGTGGGCTACTCAGCCCAAAGAGCAAGGTGGTTAAAGCACGTGTGCCAACCCATAGAGCAAGAGATGAGCACCTTCAGGCAGGAGGTATGCTGGCAGAGTGCCACCAGGCACTTGGCAGAGCTACGCTCACCAACTCATGGGGTACAAGAGCTGAGTGCCTTTGGGCTGAGGTTTACTGGCAGAGTGGACTGGCAAAGTTAAAGAGCTTTGTAAGAATTCCCCAGCCAGGCAAAGGTCAGGCAAGCCCAAGAAGCTCAAGGGGCAGAGGGCCAAGAGGCCACGTGCCAGGGAGAGACTGCCTGTAGGCATGGCTGAGAAGATGTTCTGACCAAAGACCTGTAACCTGAGTTGTTCCTCTTACTTCCCAAGTGTTGTATTGTTAATGTTGTATTGTTAGGTGTTGTGGAGTCTGTTCTGACTCACAGTGACCCCACGTACAACAGAACCAAACGCAGCCCGGTCCCGCGCCCACCTCACAATTGCTGCTATGCTTGGGCCCAGTCATTGCTGCTACTGTACAGTCTGTCTCGTTGGGGTGGGGGGGTCTCCCTGTTTTTCGCTGACCCTTCACTTTACCAAGTATGATGTTCTTCTCTAGGGACTGGTCTCTCCTGATAATGTGTCTGAAGCTGTTGTTGTTGTTAAGTGCCTTCTAATCTGTTGCGACTCATAGGGACCCTATATTGGGCTTCCAAGGAGCAGCTGATGAGCTTGAACCGCCGGCCTTGCAGTTCAAACTGACCTTGAAGTCAGTCCAGCTCATTAACCCACAGCACCACACCAGGACTCCATGTCTGAAGTATGAGAGATGAAGTCTTGCCATATTGACTTCTGCAGAGCATTCTGCCTTTACTTCTTCCTACACAGATTTATTTGTTCTTTTGGTAGTCCATGATGGTACCTTTAATATTCTCCCTAATAAACCCCATAATTGTGAGTATGACCTGTGGGTTGTGTGTGGCCACTACAGTGAATTATCTAAGCCAGCAGAGGAGTACCAAGTGCTGTGGGAGGAACGGCTGTGTCAGAATTAGTAAATAGATTGGTGAGAGGAAGGCGATGTAACCTCTAACTCATCGGACTCAGCCTTGCGCTGTTGATTTGGATTCCTCCTCCTCCTTGTGAAGTTAGAGGATATGAGATGCTTACACCACAGGCCATTTTTATAAATCGTTTACCCAAATTCTTAACGAATGTTTGGCTTGAGTGTCATGTTCATTTAACGAACTGTTTATATGGGATCAGATTAACAACAACCACTTGAATTGAAAGGTCAGACATGCGGCAGTGAGTTGATGTGAATGGGGGGAGAGGGGGGAACAACTCAGAAAAAGAGCGAGTGAATGTTGGTACAACTCGAAGAATGGAATCATTGTCACTGATTGTATGTCAAAATCAGTGACTGGGTGTACTGCTGTGTATATTGTCAGGAATCATTTTAAAAAGTAGAAGCTTCAGCGTGGAGAAAGGTAGAATCTCCACTGAGTAGTATCCAATCTGTCTAGGCAGGACTGACTAAAGGAAATGCGGATAGGTCTCTTGTGATGCAAGGGTGAATAATTGTTACCAGGATTGATTGTGAAGGTTGTAAATATAAAAGTGGGCATTTTGTGGTAAGGAGGGGAGTGATTGACTTTATAGGTAGAGAACGGAGGTCCCTGGACCCATGGAGGGAGAAGAGTGGAGAGCGGAACCCTACCCAGAGAGGCAGTGATCCCTGAGATGGAGGCAGAGGACTCAGGACCCAGGGAGGAAGAGGGGCTATGTGCTGATGACCTGAGGGGGGTTGGGGGGAGCAGGCTTACAGGATGCACCCTTTCATTAATTGGTGATGCGTGGAGGGAATTATAACCATGGCAATGAAACAATATACGACAAGATGAATGTAATACTAATATTCTCCCATGTAAACTGTCACATAATTCACAATAAAACTTAAAAAAAAAAAAAGTAGAAGCTTCAGGGGACAGGATGATAAAAACGTGAAAGGTTATGAGCAAGTCTCGGGACCAGGCTCCTCCTGAGACTATTGGCCCATTAGTGTTTCTAAACCCAAAGTCTCGTGTGAGGGGGCTTTAGAAAGTTCATGGGAAAATGGAATGTAAAGACAATGGAAATTTTTTTCACGAATTTCTGAAGCTCCCCTCATATTACAAAACTGACCCCAAAATGCATAAAACCTTATCGAGTCCAATTCCACCTCTGGGCTTGAATTCTTGCCTGGATTCTTGCCAGGCAGTGCTCTGTCCTCTTCTCAGGTGTCCCTGCTGAAGGTGGGTCAACTTGCAGCCACAGTTCTGGTCCTTTGAAGTTGACCAGCGTCCACCATGGAGCATCATAGCTTGCTTCCTGTCCTCTCAAGTTTATAGGACACTCACCAGATTATGAGTGCTTGTTAGTTTTTTGTTTCTCCAAAGAGATCAAACTTCTCTCATTAATAATTTAGCAAGCCTGCTAAATTTTGGTGATAAATGGAGAAAAGATTGAAGTTATCACAGATTTCATTTTACTTGGATCCACAGTCAGTACTCATGGCAGCAGTTTGAGGACTAAGGTGCATCTGACCCAAGCCACAGGGTTTTCACTAGCCTCAAATACATGTGAAAGTTGGATAATGAATAAGGAAGACCAGAGAAGAATCAGTGCATTTGAATTATGGTGTTGGTGAAGAATATTGAAAGTACCATGGACTGCCAGGAGAAGGAAGGTTGGTAAAGTGGAGGTGGTGATAGTGTGCCGTGGAGTCGGTTCCGACTCATAGTGACCCTGCATAGGGTTCCTGAGGCCATAAATCTTTACAGGAACAGACAGCCTCATCTTTCTCCCGCGGAATGGCTGGTCATTTCGACCGTGAAATTAGCAGCCCGACTTATAACCACTATGCTCCCAGAGCTCCATGGTAAAGTAGAGGGTCAACAAAAAACAGGAAGACCCCCAGCAATATTGATTGACATAATGGCAGCAACAGTGGGCTCAAACATAACAACAGTAGTGAGGCTGGTACAGGACCAGGCAGTGTTTCCTTCTGTTATGTATCAGGTTGCTGGGAGTCAGAACTGAGTTGACTGCCCCTAACAATAACAACAACAACCTTGGTGGGTGGTTACCCAGTTGCAGTTTTCTAAACCATGGTAGGGCTGTTTTCCAGAGGCTTGTGTCATATTTGTTTGAATCAGGTTTTAAATGTCTCTTGTGCATTACAGCAGAGATGAGAGCATATTATGTAAGCATGGAATCTTTAGACTCATTAAAGACTGGGCTTACTGGCTTGATGGAGATTGATGGAAGCCTGTGATTATAATAGCCCTTACTCACCCTTCAAGCCTGGGACTGAATTGACCCTTTGTGGCTCAACTTTCAGCCAAATGATAGGCCCATAAGGTGAACATCAGGAAGGTACACACTCCTTGGAATCATCAAGCATGCAGGATCAAAGGACAGATTTCCCGAGGTATAGAGGAAACAGGGAGGAAGTGGAAAAAATGATGGTAACATGGTTGGGATTGCAATCAATGTCAACGAACAAAAAAATGTGAATGGATTGTTAAATGGAAACCAATTTGTTCCGGAAACTTTCACCCAAGTCACTTTAAAAAAACAACAGAGGCATACTCTTTAGTTGATTTAGGAAAGCTGTTGTGTTTTTCCTAATATTTTATTGTGTGTTCAGTGAAAGTTTACACAGCAAATTAGGTTCTCATTTGACACTTGCTACACAATTGTTTAGTGTCCTTAGTTACATTTTCCACAATTTGTCAACATTCTCTTCAATTCTGTCCCATTTCCATCCCAGCCTCTCATCTTCTCACCTTTATTTTGGAGTAATTGTTGACCGTTGGGTCTCATATGTTGTTGTTGTTCTTAGGTGCTATCGAGTGTACTGACTCATAGTTACCATATGCACAACAGAACGAAACACTGCCCGATCCCGGGCCAGCCTCACAGTTGTTACCACGCTTGAGCCCATTGATGTTGCCACTTTGCCAGTCCATCTCACTGGTCTCATGTAGCTGGCTTTTATTAACGAATCAGTTATCCTGCTTCCTCCCTCTGATTGTTGCTTCCATTTCATCTTCTTTTCCAATTCTTCTGAAGTAGATCTATTCTTGTAGAAGAAGGTATTTCAGAGAGAGCTTTATCTTGTTTTGGACAATACTGACAGCTTTTTAATTTCTTTCTTTTTTAATGTTTTATTGTGAATTGAGTTAAGGTTTACAAACAAGATCTTCAACTTTATATTCAACAAATCACAGAGTTTGTTTCATCTTGATGATTACAATCCCCTCCCGGCAACAGTAGTTACCTTACTTCCTCCCTGTACTTTCCCATTTATGTCTTATATTTCACAAATGAACAAAGGAAAAATATCTGATGCACACATACAAAACAAAAAATATATATTAATTTAAATGTCCAAAGGCCACATTCTGCAAGCCTGCAGCTGCTCTGTGTGTCCGTGCCACTGCCTCCGCCACTGTCGCTGCTGTCATCGCTTTTCTAGGTAGGGGTCTCATGCTTTACTCATGCTTTTCCTTCTTGATGGCTCTGGGATCATCTGTTCCTGAAATGAAAGCTTAACTGCATATTTTCTACAGTTGTTGTTGTTAAGTGCCGTCGCGTCGATTCTGACCCATAGTGACCCTGTATAGGATTTCCAAGGAGCAGCTGGTGCGCTTGAACCGCCGACCTTGCAGTTCAAATGGCTTTGCTGTCCGGCACATTAACCCACAGCACCATAATTACCGTTGTGAAAATCACAATTCATCCTGCTAACAATTACTCACAGTTGAATCATAAAATCTTATCACTGTCATCCCCCACTCCCTTTCACTAGATCCATCTGGAAAAGAGGAAAGCTATTCAGTGAGGATTCTATCTTACCCACCTCATTCTGAAACTAACCCGTGAAAGCTTGTAAGCCAGCCACTTCATGTCTTTATGTTGTTATTGTTAAGCACCGTCAAGTCTTAGCGACCCTGTATAGGGTTTCCAAGGAGTGACTGGTAAGTTTGAAATGCTAACCTTATGGTTCAAATCAATTTTGTAGTCCAGTGCTTTATCCCACAGCTCCACACTAGGACTCCTTTATAGCACCCATTTTTGATAGTCATTGTCTAAATTGCCTATCCCTATCTGGTAGCATAGTAGTTATGAGTTGGGCTGCTAACCTCAAGGTCAGCAGTTTAAAACTACCAGTTCCATGGAAGAAAGATGAGGCATTCTGCTCCCGTAAAGATTTATAACCTAGAAAACCCTGTGTGGGGTCGTTGTGAGTCGGAACTGACTCCATGGTGCACCACCACCACCACCATCAACCCAGTACACTGAGGAAACAAGCTTGTTCCTTGATAGGAAGACTCTCCATTCCAGTTGGAATTTTGAGCAGCTGCGTTCATAAGCAAAAGTCCAATTCATCAAATGGTAGCTTGTTCATCAAATGTGTACTTGTTCATAGTATCAAACATCTTTATCATCATCTGGTTTGGTTCTGGTCAGCTCAGCCCTAGCCAACCAAGCTAGGTCAAATGGGTATCAACTGAAAGTTTGGGAGTTCACGCACACCTCCTGGCACTTCAGACCAGCTGGCCTCTTTACTCTCAGCCCTGTCCCCCAGGGGCTAGGTCAGTGTTTTTTAATTTCTTGGTCTGGTGTCTTAAAGATTGACTCTGGGTTCTGTGTCTGATGCTGTCTTCTCTCGCAGGTGGATTGGCATCCTGGCGTTGTACCTCACGCACAGAGAGAAGTTGGACTGTGCCGGTGGAGCCCTGCTCAGCAGTTACCTGATCGTCCTCATTGTTCTCCTGGCGCTGGTTGTGTGTACTGTGTCCGCCATTGTGTGTGTCAGCATGAAAGGTACAAGGAGCCTTTTCCATTGTACACTTGCCTTCTTCATTGATGTGTGACTAACACTACAACCAATTTTAGATCATTTTCATCACCACAAAAAGAAATCCCATACGTATTAGCAATCACTCCCCTTTGCCTCCTGATTCCGCTAGCCCTGGGTAACTTCTAATCTGACTTTTGTCTCTATAGAGGGCTCTGTTATAGACTTGATATAAATGGAATCGTAAGTTATGAGCCTTTTAGTGTGGATTCTTAATTTATCATGTTTTCAAGGTTCCTCCATGTTGTGCCTGTATCTGCACTTCATCCCTTTTGGGGGTCTGAATAATGTTCCATTGTATGGATAGACCACACTTTGTTTATCCATCCATCAGCTGATGGGCACTGGGGTTATTTCCCATTTTTGATATGGTGAGTAATATTGTCAGGAACATTTGCATATGCCTTTTTATGAGGACATATGTTTTCATTTCTCTTGAGTATATACTTAGCAGTGGAATGAATTGTTGGGTCACACAGAGATTCTGTGTTTCCTTTTTTTTTTTAAGCATTTTATTTTGAATTGAGTGAAGGTTTACAGACAGGATCATCAGTTTTGCATACAACAAATCATGCACTTTGTTTCATTTCAATGATTGTATATGTTTACTGTTTTTGAGAAACTGCCACAGACTGCTTCCAATGCAGTTATACCATTTTACATTTCCACCAGTTAATATATAAGGGTTCTAGTTTTTCTTCATCATGTTAACCAGAGAAAAGACTTTTGTTTGTCAAGGCTTTCATTTTACTTGAATCTACAGTTAACGTGTATGGAAGCAGCAGTCTGGGCATATTGTATCAGGCAAATCTGCTGCAAAGTGTTAAAAAGCCAAGATGTCACTTTGAAGACTAAGGTGCACCTGACCCGAGCCATTGTATTTTCAGTCACCTCATAATGCATGTGAAAGTTGGACAGTGAATAAGGAAGACTGAAGAAGAATTGATGTCTTGAATTGTACTGTTGGGGAAGAATATTAAAAGTACCATGGATTACCAGGAAACAAACACATCACTGCTGCAAGAATGCTTCTGAGAAGCGAAGATGGTTAGGCATGTCATCAGAAGGGATCAGTCCCTGGAGAATGACATCATGCTTGGTGAAAAAGAGGAAGACCCTCAATGAGATGGATTGACATAGTGGCTGCAGCAATGGGCTCAAACATGGCAACAATTGTGAGGAGGGCGCAGGACCAGACAGTGTTTGGTTCTGTTGTCTACAGGGTTTCTGTGAGTCAGAACCTAGGCACTAGACTAACAATAACCGCTGCTCCACTGCCTCACATCCTTGTGATCTGACTGACTACAGCCATTCTCTTAGGTGTGAGTTGGGTCTCTCATTGTGGTTTGGGTTTGCATTTCCCCGGTGGTTAATCTTTTCACGTGTGTATAGGTCATTCATAGATCCTCTTGGGGGAGATGCCTAGTCAGATCCTTTGCCCAGTTTTAAATTGGGTTATTTGTCCTTTTGTTGTTATGTTGTAAGAATTACACCTCTCCTTTGTGATAGTTACATATTTTTTCTATGAGCATTGTGGATTTCCCCAGACAACCCATTACCTGAGAAGTTCTCTGAAGACACTAGAAATCTTCTGTCTTTGAATGCTCTGGTTTCTAGGAGGAACCAAGCCTTCTGAAGACTAGTAAGGAAATGCACAGTCAGTAAGCCTTTCTCAGTCACAGGCAGGGCTGGACAGCATGCCACAGGGCCTTGCTCCCAGACCACATACCACCCATGTGGGGCATTGTAGCTATAGTGTGATTTCACTGCCTGAGTCCAAGCAGGATTGTAAGAAGGAAGCATGCCTTGCCTATCAGACATGTTGTTGTTAAGTGCCGGTGAATCGGTTCCAACCCATAGCGACCCTGTACAGGGTTTCCAAAGAACAGCTGGTGAGCTTGAACCGCCGACCTTGAAGTTCAAATGGCTTTGTAGTCTGGTGCATTAACCCACAGCACCACACCAGGACTCCTATCAGATTATAGAGGATGATAAATCTGGGAAGAGGTTGTAGATAGATGGGGCGATAGGATCAAGATCCTGACCCTTCAGAATGATGGAGCGAAATGTAGAAATATGCTTGTTTATGGGGAGAAATGTCAGGGGGAAGAACGGTCTGGGGCTAAGTGTTTTCATGAGAAAAAGAGCATAGGGTTTGCGGGAGTAACCAAGAAATGTGATGTGTGGCCATTTATTATGGTAACATATTGGAGATAAGGCTCGACTGTATTTTAGTTTTGCTCTTGGTGGGTCTGGGTCCAAGAAGGAGTGCTGGTGGTAAAGTGGGTTAGAAGTTGGGCTGCTTGGTGCTGAAGGAAAGATGAGGCTGCCTGCTCTTGTAAACTTTTATAGCTTGGGAAACCCTCTTGGGCAGCTCTATTCTGTCCTATAGGGTCGCTGTGACTCATAATTTACTCGATGGCAGTGGATGGTATCCAAGAAGGCTCATTTCTGTGGTCTGTGTTGGTCCTGAGTGTCTAGATTGTCATTGTTGCTGAGGGAGAGGCAGCAATTCAGAGCTTCTCAATGAAGGCAGGAGTCCTCAGAGGGAAAGGATCCAGCTGGCGTCTTTGCAGACCTGGCATTAGCTACTTAATGTGTCCTGTATGTTGACCTCACCTTCTACTGAGACCACTGTAATGATGGACTCAGATGGAAGAAGTCAGTGTACATTTCTTTTTCCTGTAGGTGTTTTGTTGTTAGTGTTGTTCCAGAACTTTTGGGTGGTACCAGAATATAGTTACAGTTCTGGGATGGGTATCCATGTTGTACTAGTTCCTTCTCCTAGACTCGGACCATCTGCATCATCACACAGAGCCTGGGCAACATTTGCAGAACACGGGGCTGTTGTGGCTTGCTTCCACAACCTCTGCCTGCCCAGAGGACTTGGTTTTGTTCAGGACTCCCCTCCACCCTTCTCAGACTATACCAAGTATGTGTCGGAGAAACCGGTCCTGTGCCCGAGTCTAGGAACAATCTCCGTGTTCTGGAGGGCCAGGCAAATTCAGAGAGCGTTTGCTGGGAGGTTCTGGAAAAGTCTCTCCTTCCTCCTCTAGGAGAGATCTGGAAGCAGGGAGATTCTGGGCAGGGTGGCTGCTGCACCCCCTTGCAGAGCCCAAGCTGAGTCGTCCAGGTCCCAGAAAGTCAGAATCCCTGACACTCAGCAGCCTCCGGACTTGTGTCCTCCCAGCCAGTTGTTGTTAGGTGCCATCGAGTTGGTTCCAACTCATAGCAAGCCTGTGCACAACAGAACCAAACACTATCCAGTCCTGTGTCAGCTTCATAATTGTTATGTACTGCCAATCCATGTCCTCAGGTTTCTAACCAATTGGACTTTCTGTTAGTTGTGGCTAGAGATAATCTCAACTGAACCAAAAGCAATCTTTAATAAACATGCCAGCTTCATTGCCAGTTTGTTACAGATAATTAACTGCATGTACCTTTTAAAACACATTGTGAGAATACAATAAGGAATGTTTAAAGAAATTGATAAAGGCAAATGGGAATGGTGATTGTAACTCATGAGACAGTGGTAGCTCTGTTGCCTTAGGCTACAAGGGCTTCCCCAAGTAAACGGGGTCCAGGTATGGCACTGTAGGATATGCTCTGGACTACTAACCCTAGTGTCAGCGGCTCAAACCCACCAGCTGCTCTTTGGAAACCCTATTCAGGGTCGCTATGAGTCGGAACAGTCTCAACAGCAATTCACAACAAGAGAGATCAGTAGGAGTCACTTGGTGACACAAATAGTTAAGCATTCAGAGGAAGAGCTGGCAATCTGGTCTTATAAAGACGCTGAGCAGTACACACTCGGAACAGTACATTTGGCCACCACCTTTGAGTGGGTCACAACTGTTTGTTTCTTACTCAGATCAGAATGCTGCAGAGCAACAGATTTGGCTGCTGTGCAACACATATATGGTCCTTGTTTATGATGGTAATTTCTGAACCAGTTTGAGCTGGTTCAAAGCCCTGTTTGGAACCCATCAGCCCCTCCATGGGAGATAAGAGCAGCTCCCGTAAAAATGACAGCCTAGTGGACTGTTACTTACAAGAACAAACAAATCGCTTCCCTAGGAAACATCAAGGCAAGTGGCCAGGTCCTCTCAACGCAACCCCCTTCCAAGACTAAGGCTTAATGGAAATGCATGCTCTGATTGGTGTCCACATACATCACCGATGGGGGGAAGTGGGGTAAAAGCAGCAATGAAGCGGCAAGCTAAGCCCTACAATGTTCAGTGGACTTCTGTGTACCCAGTTGGGGACCTGGTTGGCAAGCAGTGTGAAGAGGCTTGGGAACTCTTGGGCCCAGAGTCAGTGGCGTGGCCTCGGAGGACTTGAGAGGAGAGTGGAGCTACCGGCTGGCGGGAAGAGAGGACATATGCACAGGAGCGCCCACACTTGCAGATGATACCCACGTGACCTGGACCAGATGACTGGATGATCGGAGCTCAACCAGGAGAG